AGGTCTTGTGTGATTCTAATTGTGGTACTACCATATTTAATTTTTTTCTTGTTCGTAATGTTTTATCCTTGAGCTGGGGGGTTTGAAATTTGATTGTAATATTCCTGTGGCTTTTCCTCATAGGATCTCTTTCAGTTGGTGATCAATGGATTTTTTTCCATTTCTATTTTCCCCTCTTGTTCTGATGCTTCAGAACAATTTTCTTTAATTATTTCTTGTATTATTATGTCAACATTCTTTTTTTGATCATGGCTTTCAGGTTGTCCAATTATTCTTATGTTTTCTTGATCTGTTCTCCAGATTAGTTGTTTTTCTCGTAAGATGTTTCACTTTCTCTTCTATTTTTTCATTCTTTTTATTTTGTTTTATTATTTCTTGATCTCTTATAACTTTGCAGGCTTCCCCTTGCCCAATTCTAATTTTCAAGGGGTTGTTTTCTTCCTAAGATTCGGAATCTCCTTTTCTAATTGGTTGATTTTCTTTTCATAATCTTCTTGTTCTTATTTTATTTCATTTTTTTTTAGTTCTTCCTCAATTTGATTTCTAAAATCTTGTTTAAGTTCTTCTGTGAATTTTTTTTGGGTAGTCGACCATTTGACATTACTCTTTGGGGTAGAAGAAGGTTTCTTTGCTGAAGATGAAAGATGAAACCTGGTCTTCTCTATTCCTATAGTAACTCTCTGTGGTTGTATTCTTTCTCCGTTGCCTGTGCATTTTTTTGTGGTAGTAGCTTAATTTTTGTAATCACCTCTAGTCCTGGGGTATAAGGGATGGTGCCTCTGGCCTCAGATCTTCAGTTCTCCTCTCTGGCCTGGAACTGGAACCAAGACCTCCAGCCTCCTGTAAGTGCCCACAGCCAGTGGCATCCCAGCTGCAAAGCTTCTGCACTTACTGACTGTGTGCTGGTTCCTTCTCGCACCCAGCCACATCTCTGCAGCACAGCTGGGTCTGGTGTTCCTTGTCAACAGAGATTCCCCTGAGCTTCCCTGGCTCACATGCCCAACTCCCTCCACTATGCCAGGGATAAAAGTTCCTTTGGTTAGGGCTGAGGCAGCCTCCCAACCCAGCTAACCCCTGGGCTTGCCATTTATTGTTTAAGGGGATCTAGGATTAGGCTGAAGGTGTGTACTTTCACAGGGACCAAACCTCTTCCTGGGATTTTTCTTCAGACCCTTTCTTATTGTCCCAGGAGGACCCCTGTTGTGCCCCTACTCTTATTTGTTTTTACCTACTCTATGTTTGGCCTGAGGTGCTAATTTATCTCTTTTGTAGGGCAAAATCTTGAGAGCTTGGAATTTTCTGATCTACTCTGCCATCTTCCCAGAATCCTCTGAGACAACATCTTTTGACCTCTTGAGGAGGCAGAGGGAAAGGGAGAGAAAGAATAAAGTACTTTTTTATGAACTGAATTTTATCCTTTTCTCTGTCAAGTTCTCTGCAACCAACTACAACATCTCAAGTTGTACAATGATTAATGCTCTAGGCTAATTGTAACCCAGGAACAGAATGATGGCTGGGAGGGACATGTGTTAGAAGTAGTCTCAATCAGATGAAACTTAAAATTTCAGGAGAGAGCTCATCTACGTGAAATTTTTCAAAGCAACCCCCTTGACATGAACCTCTCCTTGACTTCAGTAAAATTTTCTGTTGTTAATGGAGCATATAAAATAACTTGAACAATAAATGTCATCTTGCACAAATATTCCTGTTTAAACCATCATGAACTTTCTTTAAGCACCGGCTTTCCATGCATTCCAAAGTCTGTCCATGTGGTAGAGCCTGAAGGTGATTTAGCAGAAGGACACTTTTCAGAGTTGTGGTGCTGTTCAGGCAAACTGTTAAGTGCAGCTTGAGTCCTGTGTTGAGCAGTCAGAGATGGTTGGTTGTCCCATGTGTATATGTTATGTAGTAAATTTTGAGCATTTTGCTGTTTAGAAAGCAGATGGAAATAGCCTTGAATAATTGCAAGAGTTCACCATATGAATCTTATTTAAGCTGATCATATCATTGGAATTTCCATTCAGGGAAATAAAATGAAGAGAAGCATAACTCAGAAAGAGTATGATGTCCAGTTGAGAATGGTCAGAATGGTAAAAAGTCTCATGCTATATAAGGAGCATGATAAGGAACTGAAGAATGTTTAGCCTGGAGAAGAAGAGACTTGGGTCAGGGAGAGGGACATTAAAGTGATTGAAGAAATGTCATATGGAAGACACATGTGCCTTACACATAGTAAGCACTTAATAATTGCATGTTGTCTATTGGCTAACTGACTGGAATAGAGATTAGACTTGTTCTTTTTGGTCCCAGAGGACAGAACTATATGAGCAATGAGTAGAAGTTCCAAAAAAAACAATTGAGGTTTGATATCAAGAGACATTTCCTGATAATTAGAACTATCCAAAAGTAGAAAGTATTGAGTTTCACCCTGTGTCCTACCCCCACTGGAAGTCTTCAAGCAAAGATCTTTTGGGTTAGATATGTTGTAGAGGTCATTCTTTGGGTAGGAGAAGTCTATGTTGGACCAGAAAGGTCCCTTCTAAATCTGAAATTTTGTAATTTATAAATTTTTGTAAATAAAAATTAAAATTAAAATTCATCGCCGTTCCAGAAAGTCACTCTTTGATTGCTTGTATTATAGCTACAAAATCTGCAAAACTGGTCATTCAGTTACCTATCAACTTTATTACCTGCTAAACTGAGGATCCCTCAGTTCAGTACAACTGTGATCGCCTTGCCAGTAATCCCAATTATACATTACTCCTGCCAACCTTTTCTGTGTCTAAATTTTGTTATGTGTCATATTCTCTACTGAAATGAATTTATCCTTCCTCTTTGTCAAATCAGAGCACATTTACCTGTAAAACTCTTACTTCATTACTCTCTCATATTTTCCTAGTTCTGATTCTATTTCCTTATACAACTGGAATTTAGTATGCGTGCTTGCCTGGGTTTTGTCATTTCCAGTGTAGAGTAGGTGACTCAATATCTTGGATCTTTCTGCTTTGGGAAACATGTTTATACTTCATGCATCTCTACTTGCATTGTATTTGTCTTGTACAATTCCCTACCCAGTTTTCTGTTAGTAAATACCTGTCTCTTCCTAAGACTCCTCTCTATCAGGAGCACCATCTTTCCAGTCATTCAGGTTCATAACCTTATACTCTAGTCTATCCTTAACTCCTCATTCTCTTTCACCCTTCATATTCAGTGATTTGCTAAGCCTTTACCAGTGCTTCCCCCATGACATCTGACATCTACCCTTCTCTCCACTCACATAACCACTGCCATTATTCAAGCTCCCATATATGCTTCCTCCTATTCTATTTCATTTACCTCCCAATGGTGTCTCTTTCAATCTGCTCTCTCTCATTTCTAAGCCATCCTCCATATTTCTGCCAAAGTGGTATTTCTGAAAGTACAGCTATGATGTAACATTCTCACTCCCCATACATACTCTTGAGAAGCATCAGTGGCTTCTTGTTGCCTCTAGAACAGGAATTCTTAACCTTAGAACAAAACCCGATGCATAATAAACAATTAATACCTGTTTCCTCCCTTTTTTGTATTGTGGATTGCTTTTGGTAGTCTGGTGAAGTCATTGGACCTCTTCTCAGAATACTATTCTTTTTTTTTTGTTTGTTTTAGGCAATGGGGTTAAGTGACTTGCCCAGGGTCACGCAGCTAGTAAGCATTATGTGTCTGAGGTCAGATTTGAACTCAGGTCCTCCTGAATCCAGGGCTGGTACTCTATCTACTGCACCACCTAGCTGCCCCTTCAGAATACTATTCTTAAATGCACCATTCATCTGTATGCAAAAACTTGGCAGTTTGGCTTCCCTCAGGTCTCAATTACCTGTTTTGGGATCTTTTCATTTTTTTTTCAGCCAAAGACAAGGTTTATTAAAGATCCGCCATATTAGCCAGACTCTTAAGGAATCTGAGCATCTATGAGCTATTGGCTAGATTGTAAAAATCTGAGCAGTGACTAGATTATAAGAATCAGAGCCTATTCCCTGTTTTGGAATTGATTTAAGTGATACTATCCTATTTTACAGAGGTCTAAAGTCTATTATGTGCTGAGTTCTTCTGTAAAGAAATAAAATTAAATTAAAACAAGTTTTTTTTTTTCCTTAAGAATACCCATTTTCAGCCTAGTTTCCCCTCTCTACTCAAGACACATCATCCCTTGACTCTGGGCACTTCACTGGCCTCCCTTCACGCTGTTCCTCATTGCTCTCCCTCCTCTTCTCTTCTCTGACTTCCCCACCTTCCTTCAAGGCTCAGCTAAAATCCTACTTTCTGTAAGAAGCCTTTCCCAATATCCTTTAATGTTATTGTTTTCCTCTCAAGTTAATCTTCTGTTTATCTGGTATATATCTTGCACATAATTGTTTGTGTGTTTTCTTTCCCATTATATAGTGAGCTTTTTGAGGGCATGGATGTTGTTTTTTTAACCTTTCTTTGTATCCCCAGCACTTCAAAGATACCTGGAACATACTAGGAAATTAATAAATGCTTATTGACTCTAGGAATGAGTTGGAGGACAGTAACTGATTTCTCTGTGAAATCAAATACAACCTGTTTGACTTTTCCTTATGCATCATTATTTCCAACCTTTTTTAGAGTTTAGAGTTTTCAGAGTTTAGCCCAGTCTTAGAAAGATGCACTTTTCAGCTAGTCATACACCATAAGCTATTTTTCTTTTCTTTTTTAAGCATTTAGCATATACATCATCAGTAAAACCGCCTAGGTATATGTGTATAGTCCAGACACTGTATACTGCATTCTATCCATTGATTCCGTCTGTCCATTGATATCCATTCTATTCATGGTGCTCATTCTCTCCATTTGTCTTCTGTTTGGGAAGGACATTGTTCCATCACAGGCTTCAGTTTTCTCATTGATTAAGCAAAGATGAGAATATAGATCTTCACTACATGCATTACAAAGTTTTTGCAGTTTGTCCCTAACAATGCATTTATAATTTATCTGTCTAGGAAGAAAAAATGAAAATGCTTGCAGAGGAGCTCCAAAAACCTGTGCTTTACTAGAAAAATTTCCAGAAACGACAGGGTGCAGAAGAGGGCAGGTATTTCTGACTTTTTTCAGTATTGCTCTAGACTGGAGCTAGCAAATAAATGATCTGTAATGTTTTCAAAGGAATGGTTAAATTTCTTTACTTCATTGAAAGCTGCTTGTTTTAATACTCATTTTAATGGGTCAGAATTTCACATAGTTGACATAAAAAATATAATGGAAAACATTGTATTTCTCTGACTTTTTAGAAAATATGAGTGATTACGTTTTAATCACCTCAGAAATAAAGCACAGATAGAAAACCCAGGTCTTCCCAAATTCTAATCCAAAATGACAAAAGTCTAGGTCTGTCACTTGAGATTGGCAATTCTTCAGCCACCTGACAAATCTTTGAGTGAAAGAGCCATGATGAAGAGTGTATCTTTTTTTTCTGCAGATCAAATATTCTGTCATGCACCCAGGCACTCATGTCTGGCCTCACACAGGTCCTACAAACTGTAGGCTGAGGATGCATTTGGGCCTGGTGATACCCAAGGAAGGCTGTAAGATCCGTTGTGCCCAAGAGACCAGGTAAGCCTTCTTCATTTGTCTTCACTCTCTATTGGGAGGTCTTGCTTTATTGCAGGAGTGGATTTTTATTTGATGATTTCATGGTTTAAAATAGTAACTCTTAATTGATCAAAGATTTAGAGTAGTAAGGAATCTTAGAGGTCGTTGAGTCCAACAACTTCCCTCCCCCTATTTTACTGATGAAGAAACGGAGGCCCAGGGAGGTTAAGTCATTTGTCCAGGGTTGCACAGCTAAATAACTGACATTTATGTAGTAATTTAAATCTGCAAAGTGCTTTACACAGACTTTCATTTGATCTTCCTAATTACTGGTGAAGTAGATACTTAAAGGTATCACCATACTCATTTTACATATGAGGAGACCTAGGGTGAGAGGAGTTAAGTAAGTTGCCTGCAGTCACACAGCTGAGTGTATACCAGAATCTTACTCCAGAGCAGTCAGTATCTACTGTGCCCTACTACTTTATATATTAACTAATCCCATTGGGTATAACTTAGTCTAAAATTTCTTAAGCAGTTTCCTTTCTGTTAAGCTTTCTGTGGTGTGGTACAAAGAATCCTGGGAAAAGAATTAATAGACCTGGGTTGTCCTCCAAGCTTTGGCAGCAGTTAACTTTGTGACATAGGGCAAGTTACATCATTTCTCCTGGCTGGTTCCTCCTTATCTGTAAAATTGCAATATGAAGGGATTGGATTTTAGGAATTCTTCACCTGAGTTCTGTCAACTTTTTTTTTTAATTCTTCAGTAACTGTATTTTGAAATAATTGGTTTACTTTTAAAACTTACCTGGGTTATTTTATTCATTTAGAATTTTGAGATAGGATATCTAGGTTGACACACTGTCCTAGGGGGTCTATAACACCAAAAAGATTATTTAAAAATACATATTATATACATATATGTATATACACAAATGCATACATACAAATAATATGCATAATAAATATATTATGCAAGGGCACTCTGATACGGTTGAGCATATGTATTAGGGAAGCCCCATTTCATCTATAGTTCTCAGCCTAAGAGTAGATACACTTCCATAACTGATTACAGAAAGTTTCTCTTTTTTAAACAAATGAGGGCTGTGATTTTATATGCCACACTCGTCAGCATGGTCTCCTGACTACCCCAAGTCCCCCGCTTTCAAACTTACCTCTTTGCCTTCATTCAAATTATTTCCCTCCCCTGGATTGACCTTCCCTCCAATTACTCCAATTAATACTCATCCTTGTCTGCTTAATTGAAATCTGCCCTCCTCTGTGAAGCCCACCTTAAGCACCTTCATTCAATGAAACAAGCAATTTTTAAGTAGCTGCTAGGAGCAGGGGACTGTGCTACATTCTGGAAATACAAAAGCAGCAATGTAAAACAGGCCTTGTCCTTAAAAAACGGCCTTCTACCAGAGGGTACCATAAATAAATAAATAATATTTACAGACAAATAAATAATTCGAGGGGGCTTTCTGTGGGACATGACATCTGAGCAGAGCCTTCGAGGAAGCTAGGAATTTGAATGGTGAAGATGAGTAGGGAAGGCATTTCAGATGCCTGGGACAAAGGCAGGAGACAGAATATCCGCTAAAGGAAATAACTAGCAAATTCATTTGATGGAATGTAGAGTGTGGGAAGTGGTAATGTGAAATCCCTCTGGAGAGGCCAAGATTGGCCTGGGAAGGCTTTTATCTAAGGAGCTAGCAGAGACATAGGGAACTAACCCTTCATGAATGAACCTGTGTCTGGGAAAATTAATTTGGCAACTGTATAGAGGATAGGTTGGAGAAGAGAAAGGCTGGAAGCTGGGAGACCAATTTGGGGGCAACTGCAAGTCTAGGCAAGAGGATCCAGGAGTGGGGAACCTGCAGCCTCGAGGCCGTGTATGGCCCTCTTGGTCCTCAAGAGTAGCCCTTTGACTGAATCCAAACTTCACAAAACAAATCCCCTTGATAAAAGGATTTATTCTGTAAAACTTGGGCCCAGTCAAAGGGCCGCACTTGAGGACCTAGAGGGCCACTTGTGGCCTTGAGGCCACAGATTCCCTATTCCTGATTTTCTATACAAAGGTAGTAGCTTTGTGAGGGGAGATAGATTGAAGATTTTGTGTTATATCCTAGAGGCAATTGGGAGTTAGTGACTTTTTTTTTTAATAGAGGATTAACAGAGTCAGATCTCTTTTAGGAATATAGATTTGGCAGTTATGTGAAGGATGGATTAGATAGGGAAGCAAGTATAGACAGGGATACCAATTTTAAGAAGCTATTTATAGTATCACCATTAACAGATACAGAAAATTTTGAAAATGAGCACATTTGGGGCGGGGAGTAATGAGTTTAATTGTGAACCCATTGAACTTGAGGCGCATTTGGGACATTTCTGTGTTGGTGTCTAGTAAGCATTTGGTGATAGAAGGCTGGAGCTCAGGGGAGAAATTAGGGCTTGAACTGCACTAGGCTTTTGGGACACACTGGATAGTATGAGAATTATCTGCTTAGTAATAATAGTTGAACCCCTGGTATGTGAGGACACCATCAAGATAGAACATAAAGACAGAAGAGAAGAGGGGCCAGCACAGATCCTTGAGGGACACTCATGAGTGAATTCTACTTTTTCTGAATTCTGATAATACTTATTCTGATCCTCTTTTTTTTTTTTTTTGGTTAGGCGGTGAGGTTAAATGACTTGCCCAGGTCACACAGCTAGTACGTTTCAGGTGTCTGAGGCCGGATTTGAACTCAGGTCCTCCTGAATCCAGGGCCGGTGCTCTATCCACTGTGCCACCTAGTTGTCCCCACTTATTCTTATCCTACCACACATTGTTTCATTTAATCATATACTGGCTTATATTATTTCCTTTTGATTCATATGTATTCATCTTGTCTCCCCTACTAGATTATAAATTCCTTCTCTTCCTCTTCTGTCCCACTTACAGCACCCACCCCATAGTAGGTAGTCAGTAAATACCTGTTGATTATATGGGAAGTGGAAATAACTGCTCCCCCAAACGCAGAGTTTGAAAAATAGTCAAATTGAATTCATATCCTTGCGAGAGATAAGGGTTGTAAGTTCCAGTCCTAACCCTGCCATTCACGCTGACTGTAACAAAAACAAGAAATTTGCCTTCTTTATTACTCGGTTCATACTTTTTGAAAATATGAATGGCATTGTTAACCTAGTTCACTAGCTTATGAGGATCTAGTGGTAAAAAAATAATTTGCAGAAGTTCCTCTTTGCAAATAATTACAAGCCATGTTAAAATCATTATTCTTACTACTCTTCTACGTATTTTGTCAGTGGGGTATTGTATATGAAGAAATGCTAAAGCACTCTCTTTGATAAGGCCAGCAATAGTCATTAGTAAGTATTAACACCCATCGTCATCATCATTCACTGTGAAGTAGTTAACACTGTAGCATCTCGCATTGTGTTGTTATGCTTATCATTAAGAATGATCCTGGCACACACTTTATGATGAGAAAAACATGCTTATATTGAGAGAATATTGTCCAAAAAAGAAATCAAGTTCAGTGTAATATTTACTGAGAGAGAACTGTAAGCTATCAGAAGGAGACAGTATATTTATCACTACCTAACATGGGAGAAAATGGTTTGAAATCCAGAAGTTTCTTGCTGGTTTTGTTAAAACGGTTTTGGTGTCAAAACATACAGAGGAATCAGTCTTCCTTATTCTGGGTAATAGGAAGCAATTTTTCAGAGCTCCTCCAAGGCCTAAACAGTGGGCAATTTGTAGCAATTTGTAGATTGTAGTTCTCAGGTAGTAATAATCTGATTGCTATTTCTTCAAAGGTGATAGGACTCCTGCAGGCTTATGTATCATTTAAATATTCTATCACGCAGTCCACACCACTGCAGATATTAAGTGCATATCCTTTATTGTCAGAGAAGCATACAAGTTTCCCAGTATTTTATTTCCATAAATAAAATAGTCATTTTGATTGTGTTTACCTATTGAAATTGGCGGAAGATTGGAAATGGCAGCTGAGAAGTCTTTTTTTTCTTAGCCAGGGAGTTGTATTCAAGTTCACGAGTTGTTGCCACCTGCTTGCCATATACTCTGGCTCATGTAAAATGACTTGGTGTTCTCCAGTTTGGTCCCAATGAAATTGAATCTGTTGCTCTCCATACCACTAATACAGCTGAACTTAATTGTCACCTTAATTGACTGTAGAAGCTGTGAAAGCTAGCCTTGAATATTTCCAGGAAGGAAATCATCATTCCATTGCTCCAAAAATATGATTGAAACATGCTAATAGAATGAGCTATGAGCTGACACCTCCCCTCTGTATTCAGTGTTTATTACCTGTAGAAATGGCATTCCAAAATATCAGGCCAAAGTGATATATGGCTAGGAAGCAAAGCGTTGCCATTACGTTAGTGACAAAGCCAGGGAAAATTAAGAGAAAATAAAATTAGTTTATATTGAAATGTACATTTTACAGATGTCTTTTGGCTTTACATCACAGAAATTTCAACCCTCCTTTACACACACACACACACACACACACACAAACAATATACACACACTCTCTCTCCAGATTAAATGTTCCCATGTGACAAATAAAAACAATTAAGTAAAATTATCCTACATAGTGATTGCAGTTGGCAGAATACACAGTATTGTGTCCAGATACTCCCCTCTCCATCTCTTTAATGATGAGGAGGGAGGTATGTTTCATTAGATTAAAAAACTCTGCTTCCTTCTGTTATTTTCATTAGCTTTTCAGATATTCAGTTTGACTTCTTTTTAGGGTGATCTTTTCATTACATTGTAGTCATGTGTATTTTTTTTGGTTCTGATTATTTCACTCTATATCAATTTTTATAAATCCTCAAATTAATAATTTCTTACTGTATACTGATATTCTGTTCACTCATATGTCATAGTTGTTGGGTTTTTTGTTTGTTTTTTTAGCTTTTCCCCAAACACAGAGTATTGCTCTAAATATATTGGTGTTTAGTTGATCTCTCTTTCTGTGTTTGACTTC